CACCCCACCCCCCCCCCCCCCCATCGTGGGTTCCAAGTTTGCCGTCTCGCTGTTTTTCTGATTTCGTTTTGTACAGTTAATAACAATTTTGATGTTTAAAAAAAAAAAAAACGAAAAAATATTTTGAAAATCCTTGTCGTCTATTTCCAGCCTCAGCACTTGCTGGCTGAGAATGGCGCCAAACAACCGTGTATGGAAGTGGTCAAATCCTCAAAAGTTCACATCCTTCACCTCGCCACCTGTCACGCCGACAGCCTCTTCCAGCAATGGGAGTTCACAAACTACTACACAGAGTGAAGAACAACAACTTTCTGGGGAAATGTGCACGAGATACATGATGTATTCCGTTTAAGGTTCACGTCCTAACGGACCTCAAGGTGGATATCAAGGATAGGGAATAAACGCTAAGTTGAGTAATTCATGTCACGCAGGGACAGTGGAAACGTGCAATGATTTCATGCCCTTTTTTTTAAACAAAACTGTCTTTTCCTTATGACTCCATTGACATTATGACTCCTCTGGGTCAAGTTTTAAACCCAAGTTGCCGAGTTGGAATTGTGTGGTTTTTTTTTTGTTTGTTTTTTTAAATTTTACAAAAAAAACAATAATATGTCGCCAACTGCAAATTAAGACCAACTGTGGACCTGGTTTGTATCCTGTGAATGTGTCGGACTACATAGAGATGATCGAATCCAATTTGTCTAAAACGTATCAAACGGGTAAAAGAAGATGTGGTTTACTTGAGGTCTCCTGTGGTTTTAAATGCTGCATCACTCCGGTGGTGGGAACTGGGAACGGTTTCTTTTTGTACGGTTGTGCTTTGGACACTAGAGGGAGCTGTTGACCTGAAATGATCAGAAAGCCTCTCACAAGGACTTTTAATACTGGGGGGAAGAAATAAATGGCTTTTGTTTTGGAAAAACGTACAAATAAAATGAGAAGAAATCTGGATTAAATAGCAGTTATGTGTTTATTTCATCTTCGCATCATCTTATGTTTGTTTTCGAAACATAGTGTAGAATAAGTAACTTAAAGTTTTGTAAGTATAGTAGCGTACATTTGTGTTTGGATGTCCCATGACGTAGGACCTTCACAACCAGTCTTGGTAAAAAAGTAAAAGCACAGAGTAATGGGCTGAAAAAAATGTGCCACCAGAAACTGAATTTGATTTGTGAATTCAGATAATTCCGCTGAAAAATAAAATCCAAAGCGTACAATTTGAGAATTTGAAACTGAATTCCAATAAATCTGAAACCGATTTTAAAATGACAATTTTCTCTGACGCTGTTTTATTTTAATGTCACTGAAAATGCAACCCAATTCACTTCACTTCCAGGTCATTCAAAGCAAATTCAGTTTTTCTAAATCCCGATTCAAATGAGCAAATTAGGAAGAGAGATCGAAGGCAGATGCACAGATCTCACGTCATCCAATCAGCACCTTTGAGCGCTCCCCCCCCCCCCCCCCCCCCCACAGCCTTTTTTTCCCCAATGAAGAAATGAGAGTATAAATGATTCCAATTTGATTTCTGGTGCCACATAGTTCAGTCCATACGGAGGTGTTAAAAACACAACTGAATGAAGCTTTTTCAAATAAACGGTTTGAAAAGTTGAACAAAAAGTAAAGGGAACTCATCATCATCTCTGTGGAACTTCAAAATCAATAAAGTGTCAAGAGTGTGGTCAACATACCGGGAGACGGCCATATACTATCATGGCCAGAGATGCGATTTAAAATTCCCTTTATGTTTTGTATAAATGAAGTTTTCTACTAATTAGCATACTGGTTTAGCGCAATGTCCTACGAAATGATCTGAATGGGATCATAATTTAGATGTGAAAATTGGTCGCCTTTTGCACCATACTGTTACAAATTCATCATAACGTACTCAAATTCCTCGATTTTCTTGCGAGTGTTACCTCGCTGGATCTTGCGGTAGGAGACGGAGCTGTATTTGGAGGCAGCGAGGTGGTTGAAGGATTCCTGGCGGGGCAGGTTGTCCGAGGACTTCTTGGGGAGAGGTAGAGTGGCGTAGGCGGGGACCGGGTCTCCGGAGAAGACGTCGGGGTCCTTCTCCGACTTGCAGCTGGAGCTCGGCTGCTTGGAGAAGCTCGCGTCGTGTGGTGGCTGCTTCTGCTCAACTGGTTGGTCCTCTTACATGTAAGCAAAGAGAAAGCAGCACGACTAGAGTGCTAGTAGAGCAAGTGTGTCTGACTAGTAATGTTTTTTTTTTTCCTCTGAAAGCTGTCTGGCCTGGTTTTGTCTTTGCAGCAGTCATTCGCAGTCGGTGAGGATCTTTTCTCAGATCCCCTTCCCTTATACAAAGGTGTTCCTCAGTGATCCATGTTAGGTCCACTACTGTTTCATATTTATGTCAAAAGCATTGCACGTGCTGCACATAATTTCAATACAAGCCTGTAAACTGATCAGTTTATCGATACATCCAGCTCCTACTTGTTTATGTCAAACAGTAGTGGAAGGGAAAAAAAAGTTACTAGTAAGACCTAGTCACGTCTACTAATGCGGCCTTTTCGTCTACTACAGAGAACTGTCATACAGCAGCGGGGAAAAAAAACTGCGGTACTCCTAGTGAGCAGACATTTCATCCAGTCGTCTAATGGAAGGCATAGTTGGAGAAAAAAAAAAAACACTAGCAAGACAGTCGTTCCGCTAGTCATGCAGTGGAACTGCAGTATTGAAAAAAAAAAACATGTTACTAGTATGCCCGAGTTGTTTTACTAGGACGCTGAATAAGTGGAAGGCAATAGTTGTTCAACAGCCATTATAATAATGCACACTAATATCTAATATCATACAGTAGTGGAAGGATGCTTGTCTTTAAAAGCGCCACAAAGCTCAAGAGAGTCAATCACATGCATACCTTGAGTCTCAGTATCTCGCCCACGCGTTTCTTCAACCCGGATTTCCTCACATGCCTCTTGGACTTGGATCCAGGGGGCTTCCCGACTACTCCCTGAAGGTTGGCCGTCCACTCTGGCCGCTTCTAGGGTTGCAAAAGTCTGTGAATTTTCAGATCTGCCCTCATTCGTCTAAATGCGGTACTCTGATGAATATTGCGTTTGTGGAATAAGAATTACGAGCATGAATCCATCCTATTCTATCGATATTGGTGCGGCCATTTTGTCTGTCCACTGGAATTGACTTCAAACGTCACTTGGGCAAACTCGGACAACAGGTTAGCCGTGACGGTGGCAATGTGAAAACCTTTTTTTCTTTCGCAATTTACATTTTCCGGAAAAATTTATTCTGGGAATTTACTGGAAATGTCCTGGAAATTTACAGAAAATTTGGGGAAATTCACCAGACATTTTCTGGACATTTATTGAAAATTTGCTGGAAAATTTCATGGAAACTCTTGACTGGAAATTTTCCTTTTGTTTTTTAATATTTAATTTAATTAATATAAATTTACCAAACCAACTGAAAATTTACCATAAGACTTCTGGAATTTCCGATAAAATTTCTGTAAATTCGCTCAACGTTTTGGGGGCCGTCTGCCATCACCATTCTCGAAATTTACCAGACATTTTCCGGAAAGTTACCAAAAATCGACCATAAATTTTCCAGCCCCTTTTGCAACGCTATCCACTTCGCTGTTCAAAACTCATCTGCACCTGCCTGCATCCGGAGATGCGTTGGGCCTTCCGAGCTCCTCGGCTTGGTCTTCGTCGCTGTAGAACACCGAGTCGTCTCCTTCCTCCACTGCCCACACGTCTCTGTCATCTGCTTCGGAATTGTGGAGCTTCATCTCGGGGGCGAATCCGCAAATGATCTCGAGTACCTGCGATGCCATGACAGCCTCCTCCTCCTCCGCTTCATTCTCCTCCCCATCGGGATCTGCAGACTTCGGAAACATTGGGCTCTCCTGCATCTCCATCTTTTCAAAACAGTTTGGCCTTTTTTTTTTTACCCGTTAACTCAGAAATGTAACGCGCCGAAGCAAAGCATTGTGTTCATGTCCGATCGCAGTGACGAATGAGCGGTTCAAGGTCTACGCTTGTCTGCGAATGGTTCGGAGATAGTCCGTCCATGTAGTGCTGGACGTTGGTCGTGCAAGGTCAAGCTTGGCAGTCCTCTCCCCGATGTAATCGTTTGTGAGTGTTGGATCGCCAGCGAACAGAGGTTTTGTTGTGGGCTCCAACAAAGCCTCTTTGTGACTCGAGCTTCACAACATCCAGCGACTGGAGCCAATCCCTAATCTTTCTTGGGTGACCAATCTTCTTTCTGTAATGTTTCCAGGCGGGATTAACATTCTACCGTAGGTTTACTATACTGCTTATCTGTTCTCTTCTAGACGTCTTGGGGAACATTTTTGAAGAATTTCTTACGAAAAAAAATATGTGCAGTGAAACCACAAAAATTTTCTAACAACTGTGACCCACAAAAAAACTTATCTAGTCAGTTTTTGTTCTCAAGCCAAAGCCAAAAATATATGTGCATTGCTTTTGGCGCAATCAGGGGGCATATTGATACCAAGGATGTATGTTGAAGAGTCACGTGGCTTGTGTTATTTTGGTTCCAAGGAACTATGTTGAAATGGATTGAGGAGCTTTGCGCCGTGATGTAGCGCCTTCTTTGTGGTAAGGAACTCTGCTGAAATGAATTGAAGAGCATTTAAGTAGATCTTTGGCATTTGGGGACCAAGAAGCTATGTTGAAGTAAATGAAGTCGCTTCACTGAAAGTGAAATGCGTAGATCAAAGGCCACTCAGTTCTGAACTCATTTGGAAATGAAAACAGAAGCAGTCACATCTCCCTTACCCACATCCTGTATCTCTTGTCGCGCAAGAGTCCCTTATTGGTTCTAAATACGACTCCGGTTGCTATGCGAAAAATCCCTTTGTGGCTCAGACATGTAGAGCGGCTACGTTCCGATGAAAGCAGGAAATGCATTCGGTCTTTTATTCAAGCTAGTAGGATGCTGCGGAATTTGACATCCGACAACAATTGTGAACTTGCGAAGATTACACTCGGCGCACGCTCAAAACAAGTTTTCATAATGCTTTTGTGCCACCCGCTACAAATCAGTGAACATGGTGGAGGCTGGGTGTGGAAAAAACAAAACACAAAGAGTCCGGTATAAACAGCCAATAGTGATCACGAACTGTACATGAACATAACCACCACTAGGTTGAAACGTAAACATTCCGATTGTCGTCCACCGTTGCCGTTTGGTGACGTACTCAAAACACTGAACGGCAGGGTAGCCACATACGGATAATCTGAGCATTTCTTCATCAGTCTCGCACAGGGCAGACTTGGTACGAGTCATTTTTTGGGAGGGGAGGAGATCCATGATTGTCATTGGAGTTTTTGTGCGCACGTGAGCTTTGCTATTGATCGGCTCGATGATCGGATGTCTCCATCGGATATCCCGTACTGTGGACTGTCAAGAGTGACTTTTTGTCTCTGATCTGCTTGGAAAACGTTCCTCTCGGGAGTTCCACTCGACTTCTGGTTTGAGAGCAGTCGGAATTGTCAGTGGGGATATCGTGAAGTGTGCCGTTAGTCGGTCTGATTATCAGATGTGTCTGACCGATGATCCCGTGATGTTAGATGTGTTGAGTGATTTTTTTTTCAGCCCTGCTGTGCTTGGAAAAGTCACCCGGGTGAGTTTGGGTATGACAGGTTTTTGGTTTGGGGGACACGTGCCTGTACAAATAGTTGTGTGGTGTGATTATCTTTTGGTGTGGGTCTGGTGTGAAAAGAACAAATTTTAATCCTTGATCTCCCCTCACGGGTCAGTTTTGGTAGCAAACTTTTTTTGTCTGAAGACTCCTGATTGTCAATGGAGGAATCATTGTGTGAGGTGCGCGTTGGTGACCAGGGGTCTGAAAAAATGATCGTGACCGATTATCCTGTGGTGCGGGGTATTATGAGTGATTTATTTATTTTTTCATCCCAATCTGATCAGGGATTAGACTGGTGCTTGTCGGTGGGAATACGGTTCTGTTCATGTTGTCCTGTGGATCATCTTAAGTACACCACACACTATCAGAGCTGTAACAGCGCACAATGTTTTCCCGCGTTTTCTATGAGGTCTCGCATTTAAATGATTGGTTAAATTGTTAGATAAGATTTCATGTACCTGTTTAAGAATGAGATTGTCCAGTTTTTCATTATTTAGACCGATTTCTCGACCAATCCTGAGCTGTTTGTTTTTGAAATTCCAAAACTGTCACGCAAATGGCGGTGTGGCGCAACGACCCCTTTAGCTCTCCTCTTCTTCTACCGACCTCTGATGCAGTCCTGGAATCAACTTGAGGATGTTTTTCCGAACGTTGGTCCGTTTGTTTTTTCTGGGCAAGGTACCAAACAAAGAGGTGATCCTAGCTCGATCCCAGGTAGGAGACTGCGAGCCGATGCTGCTGCCGCTGCTGCTGGCCAAACTGGAGCTGCTGGATCGCCCGATGGTGTGATGGAAATGACTGGAGCCGGACGAATACTTGCGCGGGAAGAAGTGTTCTTCTCGGGTGGCGCTGGCTGCGCCGCAGGGGCTGGGTGAGCTCAGGTCCCCGAACACGCTTCCTTGGTCACTGTCGTCTGTCACCAGTCCCTTGTAGCTGCTGTCGCTGGAAAAGCGAAAGCTGCGGTGGCCCATGGGGGAGTTCTGAACTTCTGAAGAATCTGTTGAGAGGTTGCTTTCTTTCAAAGTGCCTGCAGACGAAAGACAGGAAAGTGTCGGTGAGTGAAAACTTAAAAAATCTGCGAGCCAATCCATTTTTCAGGGGAACAACATCATCATCAGACAGTCATCGGCCAATATTTGGTGGGATTGGGACAGAGCCCTGCAGTGAGTTGCCCTAAAATGCTATTGGGCATTGTTGATGCTAATTTGCATTTTTGATTATCAGGTTTGTTATCGAGCTTCTGAAAAACTTGCTGATGAGCCGATCATTTGAATCGGGTGTGGACACTTAAAACCGGCGGGACTGCAGCTGTTTAGGACCAGACTCGCCTAGCCCTGGTCTATACAGCCTCATTTTTAATTCTTTCTGTGATGCCTCAAATAAGTGAACTTGTGAATAGTACAGCGCAAACACGTGGGCGATTACCATACATGTCAAGTTCATGCTTCAATTCCCATCACGCGACTGCACAGATGAGAGCGCGTGTGAAAAAGGAAGTGCTGTGGTCTGACAGCTGAGCCGAACCCTCTCACCTCCGATTAGGCGTTGTTCCCGTAATGTAAGCGCTTGCAGCTCCAACAGTTTCTCACTCAACGATTGCTATGCAGGAAGCAAAACAACAATAACAACAAAAAACAAGAGTTACAAATCTGTTGCTTTTGTCCTGGTTTAAGCGTGAGCGAGATAGTCACCTTAAGCTGGTTCACCCTCTTTTCCAGCTCGATCCACTTCACCACACTGCCGCAGACCGTCTCCAACCTGGGATGGAGAACAGGCGCTCATCAACAATCGGGCCCCAATTTCATAATTTTTCTTGCTCCCAAAGAAAGTCAGAAGAGTGCAGATTCTTGGATGTATTAAAAAAATAATCCGGCGGCAACAGTCGCAAGTGTTAAGCTTGTTCAGTATTTACCATCGCAAATTCAAATTGGCCAATCCACAAACTCCATAAAAGGCCATATGACAGACATCCATTTTGCAGTACGTCGTTTTTGGTTGGACCGATTATCAGATGTTGATAAAAGATTATCATGAGCGATTGATTATCTTGTTGCTCGGCGTGTGTTATGTGTGATTTTTTTTCCCTTCCTGATTTGCTTGGAAGAAGTTTAGGGCCCACAACACTTATGAGTGCAAATAGTTGCGTGCGTGGTTAAAATCAAACTTAAGATTGATTGATTGTTGGTGCGGACATCGCTATGTATGTGGTGTGCCGTTTTGGTCAGCCCGATTATTAAATATCTAAAAGACCAACAGATTTACCTCTGAGGTGGGTGTGTTAAAACAGACTTTTCATTCCTGATCTGCTCGGTAATTGGTTACTATGGTAAATGGTAAACCTGTTCAATACTTACGTATTGCAAAGATATGATGTACGTGTGGAACATTGAGTTCGGCCGATCCACGGACTCCATAATTTGTTTAATGAGTCTCTAGATTGTGCTTTGTTGGGGTTTGATTGGCCCGATTATCACATATCTTTCGAAGACTACCGATACTTTCACTGAATACCCTCTGGTGTGTTGGTCAACTGGAGTACACACAGTATTGGGTGCTAATCACACATACTCATTTTTTCCTCTGTCTGCCGTCTTTGACATGATGATTTTTTTTTTTTTTTTAATTGGTTGACATGTTTAAAAAAACAAAACTATGCAGCGCATGTTGACTTACTTTAAACTGTTGGTCGATCCTCGGATCAAATCGAGGATGTGCTGATGAGAGAAACCTTCGATGCTGTCGCCGTTGATGGTGATGATGACATCTCCTGTGATGGTGAGTGGTGATAGGGATGAGGACGTGACCACAAAAAGCATTTGTAGGCCAAGAAATACGGTCACTGGTCGCGTTATCAATCACACCCGTGCAGCTAAAACTGTTTCGATACAAGTCCTGTGGAAAAATTAACCAATGAAATTCAGACATTGCTTTTGGAATTGTGCTTCGACAGAATCAAACTTATGATACAGGCCTGGACAAAAACGATGATTACCCGAGAAAAGATTGAAAATAATCTGTGACAGGTTCAACCAAGTTGGGTCCTCTAATTAGCATCACGGGTGTCTTAAAACTTCAATGTAATTAGTCAGTGGGCCCATTAAAAAGGTGATAAGTAGTCATTGTGTTGTTTGGTGACATGGTCTATACCACACTCGACATGGACCAGAGGAAGCGAAGGAAAGCCTCGTCTCAGACTAACGTGCTCGCTTATGATATTCTCTATTAGAGTAAGCTTGATGTTGCTGTCACAACCTTTTAGAAATTCAAAATCTGCACCACACTAGACATGGACCAGAGGAAGCGAAGGAAAGCGTCGTCTCAGACTAACGTGCTCGCTTATGATTTTCTCTATTAGAGTAATCTTGATGTTGCTGTCACAACCTTTTAGAAATTCAAAATCTGCCATGCTGCTGCCTATCATGTCATTATTTCTCAATCAAACAAAAATCAGGCCGACGTGTCTGGAAAGCCTGTTGAAAACAGTTTTCATATCGGATGTGCAGTTGTACTCAGTCTACGCTAAAAGGATGAGAACCAAAAAGGTAAAATGAGGTCGAACATTTCAGAGGAAGTGGGCCCGTTCACCTGCGGTCAGGCCGGCGGTCTCTGCAGCACTGTTGTCCTCCACCCTGCTCACGAACGTGCACACTTCCACGGCAGAGCTGCTCCTCAGCTGCAGGCTGTGAGTCTGCAACAACGGAAAACTTCATGAAAAAAAATTAATAAAATAAATTTTAAAAAAAACAGCTGCTTTGAGTGAAGCCCGAATGTTTTGCACTAACACTATCTGCAATTTGGAACCGTTCAATGGGAGGGTTTATTTACGAGAACAGCCATCTCCCCAGTCAAGAGGGTGTGTGCACTTGTGAAACCACATTTATTTTCTCAGTTGTTTATTTTGACTTCCACTTTCTAAAATATAGTTTCTTTTTCAATGAAGTTAGACAGGTTGGAGGTCAGATTAATGGGGGGAAAAAAATGTTTGTCTTTTTTTTTTTAACAACCACAAAAACCTGACATTGTGAACATTTGTGTAGATATTTTATATTGACTGAAAATTTATATATATATATATATATATATATATATATATATATATATATATATTTTTTTTTTTTTTTGTTTTTGTTTTTTTGGGGGTTTTTGTTTTTTGGGGGGCGGAGCATATTATTACAGTAATTAGGGTTAATTTGACTTTTTTCAGAAAAGGCATTTGATTTTTTTCAAGAGTTTAAACATGTTTTCCAGAGTCAGCCATTCTCGAACAAAACAAGTATTTTTATTATTTTTTTAAAATGTACTTTGTTACATGTTCAACCCTTGTTCAATTTTGACTTTAATTCCACAACAATACACATATTACATCTTAATGTTGGAAAAAATGCACCTTTTGCCATAAGGTTATGACTTTTTATCGCAACAATGTATGTGTAGGTTTTTTGAAAGGTTGAAATGACATGAATTTGTTATCGTAGTATTACAACCTTTTTCGGAAAAAAATGGCCAATTTCTTCATTCCGACGGCCTTTAGTGTTGATGTAGTCGCTATGTTTAATTGCCGTTAAGATTACGAGGGGTCCTTCGAAGAATTTCACGCCCCCTCCAAGAGATTCCTGGGTAAGAGGTACCTGAACTTCAAATCCAAAGGTGTCATTGTCTTCCTTTTCCAGGACAATTGTGATTCTGTGCAAGAGAAAATGTCAAATGTCAAGGTTACAGTTTGTACACAACACATTTCATCTTCAAAAATAAATCAATCGGATCAAAAGAACTGTGATGGTTTACCTTTGCGGATCGGAATAGTCTACCAGGAATTGTTTCGGCTGCAAAATAAGAAATGCAAAATCAAGAATGATGCATGTATTGTACAATTATCACATTCGAGTTCAATATTGAAATGCCATGAAGACTTCAGCGCTCACAATGATATATGAATGTGCTGTACAAATTAAATGCATCACAAGAAGGGTCACAGTTGAGTGTGTGCATGTGTGTGTGTGTGTGTGTGGGGGGGGGGGGTTTCTTGTAACACCACCGTGTTACATAACAAATGAGATTTTTTTTTTTTTTTACAAATCAGGAGCTTTTGGTCCACATATTCACACTGCTGTTGGCAATTACTTGAAAACTTGACGGCAAATCCGGGATAATCTGCTGCTCAATATCGAACTTGACAAAATTATCCTTCAGCATCACTAGAATTGTTTGGATCGCTTCTGCATAAGCCAAATTCAGTGTGTACTTTTTTTATTTTAACTTATGATTCACACAAGTTTTATTCACATGTATGGCAATTTAAATAAGCTATTAAATCCAGAGATGGGAGGTAACTGAGTATGAATACTTGATTACAGTACTACATTTCAGTAGATATCTGTATTTTTACTTTTTTATTTTTATTTTCTGACACCTTTTTCCTGCCTACAATTCGCCAGGTGCTTTCTCTACTGTTTCGCTCACGGTTTTAAAAATAATCAAAGCAGCTCTTGTTCATCGTTTCTAGTAGAAATCTAGTTTTGCTTTTTAAATTTGTCAGTAAAATTCAGTCTGCTCATTTACTTTTCGGTCAAGGAGTCGATACAGAAGCGGTTTTCTACACGTGTAAGCATATCTGTCGGCTGACTTTTTCCAGACTGGGTACTTTCGATACAAGTCAAGCCTAAACGTGGTTGTAAAAACAAGTTTGGTTTAGGAAAATCACAACGGAAGTGTTATTAAGTCTCACCTTGGCCGCTCTGGGCAGAGAGTCGCTGCTGTGTCGGTGTCTGGGGTGGTCGTTGCTGCCCCTCAGTGAGCGTCTGTACCACAGCGAGCTTTTCTTCCTTTCGGCGCCGCCGGCCAGGGATGGACGTCCGCCGGGATTCATGGCGGACTTGAGGTGGAGGTGGAGCGGGAGCGGGGGTGGCGCGGGGGGAGAGGCAGAAAATTGGGATCGAATCGGACCCGAAAGACGCGGAGGCGTTTCAGAGCATCGTCGTGCTGCAGCTGCCGAGCCGTGGGCTGTTTGACGGGGGCGTGGTTCATGGCGGACTTGAGGTGGAGGTGGCGCGGGGGGGGGGGGGGCCGAAAATTGGGATCGAGTCGGACCCGAAAGACGCGGAGGCGTTTCAGAGCATCGTCGTGCTGCAGCTGCCGAGCCGTGGGCTGTTTGACGGGGGCGTGCGCGTGAGCGTACGTGCGCGTACGCCGCGTCTGAACGCCGAAACGCGTCAAAGCGGATGTGAACGTCAACTGACGTGGCGAGGCGCTCGTGCGCACCCGCGCATCGTGACCTGTCAACCGAAAAGAAATGTTCTTTGACAAACATTCACTTATAAAACAGGTGTTGTTCAAAAAATTTATACAGGTAATAGCTACGGTACATTTTTTTTTTTAATCTGCCAACAGGCGAATGTGCAGGTGACGAACCGCAGGTAAACGGGGGTCATCTGTATTCGTTTCCAACTTGTTTGCCCTCCTTTAGCTTTGTTGATAAACGATAGCGCTGTTTTGTTTGAAAACATAATTAAACAATAAAAGTGAATGTAAAGGAATAAAGAGGTTCTCTTTTTGGTGTCACACTACAGTGAGCACACAAGTGTATGTGCTCTGCGCCACAGTCGTTTACACTGCATCAAATAAGATCAACTTTTCAGTGTCCCATGTGTGAACAATATTATCCCTCCATCCATTTTCTGATCCGCTTCTCCTCAAAAGGGTCACGATGCATGCTGGAGCCCATCCCAGCTGTCATCGGGCAGTAGGTGGGGGACACCCTGAACCGGTTGACAGCCAATCGCAGGGCACACTGCGATGAACAACCATCCGCGCTCATACCAAGGGACAATTTGGAGTGTTCAATTAGCCTGCCATGCATGTTTTTGAAATGTGGGAGGAAACCGGAATACCCGGAGGAAACCCGGGTCCAACATGCAAACTCCACATAAGGAGGCCACAGCCGAGATCGAACCCACCACTACTACTTGTTTTAGATTCAATAAATAATGAACACTTTTTACAGATACAATTAAATTACCGGTAGTCGTATGTTTACATTTAAAATGAACTTAAAAGTTGACTTTTTGCCAAGGTACTCCCAACTTTTCTAAGCTGCTTACCTACTGATCTCATTTGTAAAGTTTCTTTACGTACTAGCAAACGCATGGTCTGATGGGAAAATAAAGCATGGGGGTCAGTCATTTGACTCGATGAACAACCATTCGCGCTCATACCAATGGACAATTTGGAGTGTTCAATTAGCCTGCCATGCATGTTTTTGAAATGTGGGAGGAAACCGGAATACCCGGAGGAAACCCGGGTCCAACATGCAAACTCCACATAAGGAGGCCACAGCCGAGATCGAACCCACCACTACTACTTGTTTTAGATTCAATAAATAATGAACACTTTTTACAGCTACAATTAAATTACCGGTAGTCGTATGTTTACATTTAAAATGAACTTAAAAGTTGACTTTTTGCCAAGGTACTCCCAACTTTTCTAAGCTGCTTACCTACTGATCTCATTTGTAAAGTTTCTTTACGTACTAGCAAACGCATGGTCTGATGGGAAAATAAAGCATGGGGGTCAGTCATTTGACTTAAGACAGTTATTGTCTCCTTTTGGGCAGTCTCAGCGATTTGATGCACCGAGTGTCGGAAACAAGCAAAGCGTGACAAACACCTGCAAGCTTCAGAAGGTTTTAGCTGCATTCTTCCATGCAGAAAGGCTCACCCGCCTTATAGGGACGATCAAAAGGAAGATTTATTGAAGGCCTCCCTCCTGGTCCCCCCAAAACATCCTCCTGTGTCACTCCCTGTATTGAGAGCCCCCAAAATATTCATGGCATCATCACGATCAAAGTCTCACCGTACGGGCTGGATCGGATTGAGGAAAATCCACATGCATATTCTTTTGGAAGTAAATCAAAGCCTCTGTTTTTTTTTTGTTCTTTGAATAAATATGTTCACGTCATGTAGGACGTGCGGCTACAATATTAGGAATCTGCACAATGGAAACTGCAAGATGTTTTCTTCGTCCACGCGTAAATCCCTGTGTCCAGTATTAAGTACTGAAAACACAAAAGCGACGTTCAAAGTGACAAAGAAACTCATGGAATAAGATGAACATTACAAACAAAAGAAAACAACAGAACAACGCTTACGTGACACATGAGAGCAACAACGAACCCGCAAACACCGAACGAAACCAAGCAAGCAAACGCCCGAGACAACAAAGTACACCTGCACAAGACGCGAGTGCAAGGAGGGAGCGGAATGGTGGACACGAGCAACGGGTCTGACGAGACCGGGTGGACAAAAAAAAAAAAAAAAACCCCTCAGGAGTTGACATGAAAAAGGGGAAACGTGAAACAAAACTCAAGTCTGATCAAGATAAAAATGTTCCTCCAGCGCAACCAGGATGCTGTCACAATGAAAGACAGACAGGACACGGCAAGACGTCGGCAACTACCAATTTTTTTGGGGGGGAACCACGATTGTATTATCTAAGAGAACACAGCGGTTTTATATGAGGTCATTCTGTTGCGCAGAAGTACCGAAAAACCCAAATCAAGTTTCTAATATGAATGAAGACCTTGAAAAGATGTTTCCCATGAAATGCTACGCAAGCAGCAACTCAAACCACATTTCAGCTTGACTCAAATCAATGCGGCGCTGACGACTGCAAGCCCGGTTTCATGTCTAACGGACGTCCTCGCATCGCGAATTTAAGAAGAAAACAGAAAGACGAGAATGAGTCACGGCCGGTAATAATCCAAGAGTTGCCCGCGTGCGCCTGTGCTAAACCTTGTGAAACAACGATGAGCCTTTAAAACCACACATCTTTTTTTTTTTTTTTAAAAAGGGACCACATATTCCTCACTCAGAAAAAAAAACACGATTGGCTTGATTTTAATAAATAATGCAAGACAAGACATAATACTCATTTGTGAATAAATTGAAACAGCCTAAGTCAAACACAGTCTGATCCTTCAAGATGGCACCGCGAGAGTGGCTGCCTTTACAGCAGCTCCTGGATTTTGTTCTTCTACTTCTTCCTTTCATAACTTTGCTGCTGTGAATTTGAATTTTTCCATTGTGAGACTAATAAAGGTTTTCTTATCTTATTGATGTCCAATATGTTTGAAACTAGAATTTTGAATGTTTTTTGTTTTTTTTTTTTTTAATCATAGGAAATAGTGAAAATTGTATTAGCGGGGTCAAATTGTTGCAATCTTTAAACCCTTTTAAAGGTAATGTAAAAACAGCTACTTGACTATGTTTCACGACTACAATTAAACAGTTTGCGCATCGTGGTGAATCTGTTCCGTCGCACTTTCTAATTGTTGTTTTTTTTTTAGCCTGATTGCGCTGACCAAGTCAGGATGGATACGCACATACCACCTGCACAAGTTGCCAAGAGTTCAAGTTCCAGGGCCACCTTTTTCATATCTTTTCTGTTTTCCATTCTGGTACCCTTGGGGACCACAAAAACAAACAAACAAACAAAAAAAACAACGAGAAGAAAGAAAGAAATGCTCTTTGCAAGGATGGGCAACTTAAACAATGGATGGGGCCGCATGCAAAAATGCCTCTCAAGACAAAATATGTGAATGTGTCTTTTTTTTTTTTTTTATTGAACCACTGTACAGAACAATATCACATATCGTAAGTCTCAAATGCATAATTAAAAGATCCGCTCTTCAACAACAAAGCCTGCTGGCTTGTTTTTTTTTTTTCCTTGTGCAAAAGGCTCTCTTGGATAACATTCCCCATTCAAAGATGGCACAAAACTGCTGAACAGCAACCAAACATTCAGTGCAAGAAATAATGTTTTGATCGAATTTGTATTGAACGTTATACAAAAAAAAATAAATAAATCTAAATCGGCAAATTAATAGGCCAAATCACTCACCAACACACAACAGCCACTTGTCCAATAAAGCCACCGCATGCATTTGTAACATTGTTACGCTCGTGTAGATCCATGTTTTGGAGTCCTTACTGACTTCAAACGAACCGTCACTGGTTCTGTTGTTTTGTACTTTTGAGACGGGTGTTGTAGTGGCCACTTATGTTGAAATCTGTTATGGCTGACGGCGTCTCTCAGCAAACAGAGATGGTTTGCATTTAAATTTTGCGTAAATAAAATCTGCTGCCTATTTTATCGGTAAAACAGCATTTTCTTTGATGCACAATGACAGTCTTAAGGGTTGGAGGCACTGGTGAGCAATGTCTGCCATCTAGTGGTGAACACTTTTATTACAACTTAAGACCACCGAGTTTATAGTTCACATTTTTATTTTTCAAAAACTCATCGAGGGCCACTCCAAGTATGGGCTGCTATTCTGAACTTTGGGGGTCTACAGTCACATGAATGACATGAATGATTTGTATTCCTGACAAGAGATTATCGAAGAACTTGCACATTCAAAATCCCTCCACTTTACAATGACTTTCTGATCTCAAGACTGCATATTTGTCTCTCATAGAAAAGCCGTTTTGACACAATGGAAGATTAAAGCTTTGATAGCAATGATTCAAAAATCAAGCCCCCTCCCCACCCCACCCGCCCCGCCCCAAAAAAGTGCATTTGTTAATACTGCATTTGGATTCCTTTAGCATGCTACCATGAAAAAAAAGCTGCAAAAATATGCTTTACATGTGCTACATTTATCAATGTCCTCTTTTAATGCAGGCATGGAAATCTGTCCTGTTCCTGCTGAATTGAATACAAGTGCACATAAATGGTTGGATAAACGCAGTGTGGTTGGAAACTACAAACAAACGCCACAGAGATTCAAGTTCAATGTTGAAGTCCAAACACACCCAAAGTACCAATGTGCGCTTTCCCTTCTCCAACATCCTTTTCAAGTACTCTTACATACGTGGTGTTCTCCTAAAGCAGCCTTAGGCGATGTTTTCCCTACTCCAAATAACATTTGTCTGGTTTTCAGGCAACTTTGGTTTTTGACAGTTAAAATAAAAACACACAGTGGAAAAAAAAAACAAAAACAAAACATACATTTCACATTCATGGATGAGCTTCGGTCTGTCCCAAAAACTAGCACTCAGCTCTTTTCGGCAACGGAATGCTTTTACATCTGTGCAAAATCTCTTTTAAACATTCTTACAGCGTGTGATGTTCAAGTCTTAAGAAAAGACTTTTTTGTAACATTCTTCACTCATTGAAGTTAAGAGGCGAACTTGTCTTGTAATTCCAATCATCAAGAGGCAATAGTGAGCTAGGATGGCCAGAGGGCTGCACATGAAGAAGACATTTCTTTGTTTTTGAGGTGGGACCCGCATTTACGTTAAGTTAAATTGACTGAACAGTCAAAGCAGTCAAACATCTCAAAAAACTTTGATAAATTTTCATCTTGGACAATTTTTAGACACTGCTGTGTATCGCCACAGCGCGTAGCTAGCCAACTGTGCCTACAACTCGAAAATTAATCTTCCCTGGATATCACAATTTACAAAACACCTCAGTGTCGTTATTTTAATTTCCAAATGAGAAGGTGATGCTGCGGATGAAGCTGCTGCCCATCCACCGCCTGTGAGGAGCCCCAGAACCCTGTTAGCTTGCCATTGAGCTAATTGCTAGCAACTCAGCCTGTTAGCTTGACATGGAGCTAATTGCTAGCAACTCAGGTTGTTAGCTTGCAAATTAGCGAGTGTCATTGTGGTGTGAAAAGCCTCGCAATGACCCATTTGGGTATATTCGAGCCAGCAAAGGCTTTAAGCGACTATATTTTCAATAAAAAGTCACTAGTCGCTAGACAAAGTTGCAACAAATTTTTTCAGCAAGGCCGGATTTCATTTTTCATAATTTTGAAGGCTCCTTTTATATATTTGCTGATTTTTATTTTTATTTTTTAATCCTACAAATTCAATCGGGTTGTTAATATCACTTGTTTGGGGTAGGTCAAATTTACACGACATATTTATTTTCACTTTACAGGGACTTAAATGTAATGAAGCCTGGTTCAATTATTTCCGACTGAAAAAAAATCCTTCAAAATTCCAAATCAAATGCATGTTGATCCGAGTCACGGAAAGGATTGTATTTAACTATTTGAGATTCCGCTGCCATACATCTTCTTTGAAAGAAGTAAGTAAGGGGCGCTGGATCACTGCTGCTCCCTGTTGATTTGGGGTGCAAAATACAAAGTGCCTCTCTTTCCACAAATAGTTTGGACATTTAATTTCAAAATAAACATGCACATTGTCCGAGATGTCCTATGCGAGTGCCATTTAAGAGTACGGTAAGTATGGCTGACTGACTGAGTAACCTTTGCAAATAGCACGCTACTTACCTTTTACAACATTGTGTTCGCTACAAGACATGGCACAACAAAGGTGACTGACTAGGAGCAATTTTCCGGCACTTCAATATGCGAGGTAGCAAAGGTTTATACATTATGTTTTTAATACAACCTTTTTGGTTCTAATAACCATAACAGTGGTGCTAAGCTGCCACAGGCATCTCCCATTATCCTTTGGCACCGACAACAACCTCAATCGACTCTCTGTGGTTGTATTCTGAAGACCATGTGGGCCCGGGACGGTACCTTCCTGGGGTGGTCCCAATCCAGCAGCACCATCGCTAACCCATCGTCGGGCTAACAAATGAATCTACTCTTTGACGTCTCTGATGGCGGAAAGCTGAGCGGCAGTCTTCTTGACCCGCAGGGCGGTGAGGCGGGCGGCGGGGTTGGCGTACCAGCATTCTCGCATCAGTTTGCCCATGACGCGCAGAGCCTAGCTTGTCAACACAGTACGTACAGAAACATGAGGCTTTTTTTTTTTCATTTTACACAATAGAAACATTTATGTTGTACAAATGAAAAATGCACATGCAGCGAAAACTCTGTAATTTCTTGGAACAACCCAGGCTAAACTTAATTCCACCACTCCATAGCTTTTCTCTCAGTGGAGATGTATCACTTCAGCATCGTTCCTTGACACAAATGACTGCTGCTCAATATGGTCATGACTTTGGCGCCATCTTTTGGCATTTTAGGCCATTGCAGAATGAGCATGAAAATGATTATTGCTGCTGAATTCAAAAGCTCACCTCACAACTCTGCCACTGGTTTGGAATGTTTGGTCGCAGCTTCTGCTCGCACACCACCTTCCTCATGTCTTCCACCGAGGGATCTGAAGGCACCAGATCATAATAAGGCAGCTGGAAATCCTCGTGAAGTCCTGCATGAAAAGACTGCGGTGAATTTTGAACCATGAAAACGTGGAATGTGAGAATGGCGGAAGGCACTGCACCTCTGACTGAACATCTCCTGGCCAGTTCCCAGTACACTAAACCCAACGAGTAGATATCGGCCCGCTTGAACGACTCGAAGTTGCTCATGTTGATGGTCTCGTCCAGGATTTCAGGGGACATGTACCTGCAGAAGGCAACAGGACTATTGACGTCCTGGGAGTTAAACATGAAGCGAAAGTCCATCCTTGCACTTTCCATCCTGGATAGCTGAATGCTGTTTTTGGATCGTGCTAGTGTGCGGTCAGTGACGTATGTCCAACCTCTTGGTTCCCACTCGGTGGTTGGTGGGGATGTCTATGCTGTTGGTGCCAGAGTCGTGTTTCACGGCCAAGCCCAAATCGGCAATGACCGCCGTGCCGTTCTTCTTCACCAACACATTCTTTGACTTCAGGTCTCTATGAGCGATGGCTGGCTTCCCTGCAAACAGAGCAGATTATTATTCTGACCAGAACAAGGACATCAGAACAAAGATTTTAAAATCCTGCCACTGGTCTATAAATAGGTGAATGGTTTAGGCCCTGATTCATTTCAGGGGGGATAACTCCAATGGAGCTCCGAGGTCTGCAGAAACGGCTAAATTAGTGGAGCCCAGAGTTCAAAGTAAACATGGTGAAGCAGCATTTAGCTGTTGTGCTGCACGCAAATGGATGAAGTTGCCAATATGTTTCTTATGGTGGCAGTTGAGTGCTGTGTGTGTGTGTGTGTGTGCATCTGATACACCTTCCCTGTGTGCCAATAATTTCCATGTGGAGATGAGCCAGGCCGCTGGCTACAGACAGAGCGATGACGACCATGCTCTCCACCGACAAGGTGTACCTGTTCAGGTAATCGAACAACGAACCGTGCTCGTGGTACTCGGACACCAACCACAGCTGCGTCCACGAGCCGTTGTCTGCAACACACCGTACGTGGTCAATAGAAAGCTACCAGCTATCGTTCTCCTCTGTCTCGATGTTATATGACAGTGGTGACCCGCAAAATAGCAGGACCGAGAACCCAGAACCCACAATGGAGGACGGCTGTAGTCTATTGTATAATACGGAACTATTTGTTTTGGCGAGGTTGAATAACTGATGAAAGAAACAAAACCAATCATAATTTGATTTCGCATATTGCTGTGGGATATGAAAAAGGGGCACTCACTGAACTGCTGTATGAAAGCAATATCACAGCTGTGACCGTCATTCGAATCACAACCATGATGAGATCACACATCGTCCTCTCTCATGCTATATTGCTCAATTATATATTCCTGCACGAAAATTTAGGAAAATAAAAAAATGTACTTCAATAATGACTCAAATACTGTATAGTGACAAAGGTTAAATAACAAAATATCTGATTTCAAGGTTCTAAAAGGTTAAATAGTGTATTGTAGTTATAAATTAAATACAACTGTACATATTGAATATATTGTACTGGATTAAAAAGAAACTCCAATCAACATTTAATTTTTGTGATTTTTCGCCGGCCACTAGAGGGAGCCAGCTGTACCGTTTCAGGTTCCGTTACCTTTGTTGTCAGCCGCAATGAAACCGAGGATGTTGTCATGTCTGAGCATGATGGTCTGATAAATCTCGGCCTCGCGGAACCAAGACCTCTCGTCCCTGGAGGAGAAGATCTTGACAGCCACATCCTCTCCTCGCCACTTTCCTCGCCAAACCTCACCGAAGCGACCTTTCCCGATGCTCTCCTGGAGGACGATGGTCCGCGCTATCGTTCGTTGGACCAGCAGTGGAAGCCCTACGAGATGATTACAGTTAACCAATGCGAACGAAATAACGAAAAGTAAATTGAAAAAATAATGTTCACGAATTTTAAACAAAGGAAAGGAAAAAAAATGTCCGTTTTTGGTCTGTCGGTTATTATCCTACATAAGCTTGTCGTTTGAAAATTGTAGTTTAAATAATTTCATTACACAATAGTTTTCTCAACAAACAGTCCATACACTGAAAAAAAAAACTAAAACGAAGCATTAAAAATAAGACAAGAATATATCAGCATGGAATACAAAATGGTGAATGAAGACCAGCCAACCTGATCCCGAGCCTGAAGTGCTCATGTCGTAGATGAGATCTTTGAGACATTTGTCAGGAGACATGAGCATGTGTTCATCCAGGGCTTCCTCCGGGTCATGTTTGCGTGCCCGGCTGTAGACGCAGCGCTGGCGCTGCGCCACCACCAACACCCCCACCGCGACGCCCACGCACAGCAGGCACGAGGGCACCACGATCACCGCGGCCAACTGCAGCCTGCTGCCACCGTCGCCGGTTTCCAAAGGCCTCTCTGGTGACCAAAGGCAAGGCAAGCTGGTCATACGCAAGCCTAATCCAGATCGTGCTTAACCAAGGCAAATTAAAAAAAAAATACGATTGCCTCATCTCAGTTTTATTTATAAAGCACGTGCAGAACAATCGCCAAAAAACAAAACAAACGTCAAATCTTGCCTGACCTTTATTTGGCTCTGTGGGCGGACACAAACAAAACAGCGTGCACAAATCAAAGCGCAAAAAAATAAATACAATCACCCAAACAGCTCGCATCTTGAAGAACTTGCAAGTGGGGGGGGGGGGGGTCACTCGTTGGGGGAGCATTGCACACAGTCCATTTATTAGAGTTGAAGTTGTTCCCTAATATTATGGCCGGTGACACTTGACTGGTGTTTCGTGCTCATAAAATGTTTGCCCGCGTCACGTGCGTTTGTTGGCTCGAACGTGCAGATGGCTCAATGAGAAGTTGAACTCCATCACAGTTTCCCAAGACTTTGTCCGCCTTTTGCCTAAATACCGTACAAGTCCTGCTGTTGAACCGCCAAACACACTCTTTCCTGAGGTTATTACATAAAACTAATAAAAATAATTACAACTAAAATTGAAAAAAAAGTGAACTTTCTTCATAGTTTTTGTTTTCATAGGTTTTTACAACAAGTTTTTGAAGTGCTTCATTATTTCTTCATTTTTTTAAAATATATGGAGTGTTTTTTGAGTGCAAACATTTTTTCCCCAAATTTAGTAAACTATAATAACTTTCAACCCGCCAGAATCCAATCTTCAACCCAATCTCCTGGGTCCAAATCATTTAACCCAACCTTGGGTAAAAGTAACCCAATCTGCTCTACATCTACAGTTACCAGGCAAGTGGGTTAGCAAAACAACATGATAAAAATTCCAAGGCCTTGCATTATAATTTATGACTCCTTGTATAGTGTTGTGGGCATCTACTCACAAAATAACTAATCCAATTATGGTTCTGATCATGACTGTCACACTGATCCGCTTTGTCCCAACTTCAATGTTATGAAGTTAAAAGACGAAATCATGCAAATATCATGGACAGCAAACAAAAAAACACTTTTCTTTTGCAATGAGGAATTCCCTCCGACCTTTTGACAGTTTCCAGTGACTCCTGTTGCCTAACTTGCAGGTGTAACGAGCCCTTCTCAGGCTGATGGCCACCATATACCGCTTGCATTGCTCAAATTTATAAATAGGTGTGTGTGCGCCGCGTGTGTGTGTGTCTAAATGTTCCCATGCCCTGTGCCAGCGCTGTTATGTCACAGAATCTAAGCAGGATCAGCATCAACCTCGTCTCGCCGGGGCCACAATGAGTGGGAAATCCCTCAGCGATTGACTGCCCGGGCAAGGACACGAACAAACGACGATGACGGCCATAACCAAATTAATCGGAGGCGCCGTTGCTGACGCGACATCTGTAAATGTGATTTGACGGTCACAAATGCAATTCTTTGCCGTGTAGGTTTGATCATATATACTCTGCCGCAAACCGTCCTCCCTACCAGCTGTTTTTAGTGGTGTGTATTTTATATTTAATACAGAGCGGTGATATCATTTGAAAATTGGGTGCATGGTAAGTAATCATCAGATCAGGAAGGTATGATATTGAAAATCATCTTGCGTTTAGTACCCCTTTAAATGAAGTGGAAATGCATGTTTGTAGAAGAGCCAAACCGATCATGATTTTTTTTGACGCCGATTCCAGTGTTTGCGAAAAAAATTACAAAAAAAAAAAAAAAAAAAATTCCGGTGTTTGCGAAAGAAAAAAAAAAAATTCGGATGGCCGATTCATCACGCGATTATTTTAAAAAATCTATATAATGAATAAAACACAGGGGGGAAAAAAAACGCAAATTCTGGAAAAAAAACAAATACCACACAGGAAAGCAGAAGGCCTGGATTTGAAGTGGAACCGCAAGACAGATTTGCTAACCGCTCATCATCGTGCGGACTTGTGGAAAATAAAAAAAAATTCTTCCCGGTGACACGTTGCAGGACAAAAGTCGTTTCACAGGCGTGAGCGTACCGGGCTGTAAGTGCAGCGTCTCGTTGTTGCAGAAGTCGGTGAAGCAGCAGTTCCTCTTGGAGACGTTGGGGGAGCTGAAGCAGAACAGCTGCCCTCTCATCTGCGACGGCGACAGGCAGGACTTGAGCGTCTCCTCGCGACCCTCGACCAGCATCACCGAGTTCCAGCAGGCGCCGTCGGCGGACGTCTCGCACACTTGGCTGTCGCACAGCTGGCACACGCATTTCAGACCTGAAACCAAAACGGAAAACAATCACGAGCAGATCTGATGCGGACTCGCGCGCTGGGTCGGAGTAGAAGCACGGATAACGTATTTAAAAAAAAAAAAAAAAAGTAGTGCAGATTCACCGCTTGTACTTAAGTGAAGGTAAGGTAAAAAAGTACAGATTGAAATGAAAAATTCATCTTACAGCATCGACTTTTGTTTATCCAAATTGGGTTGTGCTGTGAGGTCAAACAGTGAAAAAAGTTTTGTGTTGAATTTACTTTATTTCGTCAGATGTTTGCACAAAATAAAACAGCTGGATCCAGATAAAATGTTTTTAAGTCGATGTAAAATCATCTGGATGCAGATTATTATTTTTTTTAAATTTTGTGCCATCACATGACAAAATAAAATTGAATAAATACAACAAAAAAAAATTTCACTGCGGTTTCAAAAATAACCCATTTAAGGGTTAGAAAAGAATGTCTTTTTGTGTCCAAAAAAAAATAAAATAAAAAAGGGGTCAATTTGAACCACTTTTTTTTGGGGGGGGGGGGCAGTTTTATTGTTCCTGTGTTTGCTATTTTTCACGCAGGCTCCTGTTGGTTGGTTGCCTGCGAGGTGCACCTGGCGGAGTGTTAGCGAGTTTGGAAGCAGACCTGTTGCGTAATGGCAACCGCGTTAAGCATTTGCTGCTGTTGCTGCTGCGGCTGCGGAGGAATACAAGTACGTAATGCCTCTTAGTTTAACACCCACCTAATCTCATGTTCCACTTGGAGCTGCTGTCAGGCTTTGTTTGACAAGCCCGCCTGTGATCGCCGCCTCACCCGCAAGCCTGATGTCATTTCCGTCAACTACTGGACATATTGGGAGCCTTCGGTGAACTTGCCGTCGCGCACGACTGTTAAAGTTCGGAATTTGAGCAACGCGGCGGAATTCCGGGGAGACTCGGACACTAATTGTGTGACCATAAGATTGGGGGTCATCGGCCTTTTTGGAGCGAAGAGATACTACTTTTTGGGCCATGGTGAACGTGAAGGGCTACCGAGTTCCATGCATACTTTAGAAATATTTTTTTCATTGTACATTTGGCGAAATTTGCTCAAATGTCGTGATGAATGATATTCAGTGATGCGAAGACTGAGATCATGATCATGATGTCTCACAATAATCAATATTACATTTCCAAACGATACTTATACACCATTCCTAGGAAATCACAATGCCCCAACACACTGTTGAGTATTTAAGGTTGCATCTGATTGGTCAAAGGCAGATGAATATGAAACACATAACACCACCAGATGAAGGTATTAATTAGGGCCCAAGCAGGGACCACTGAGAGGTCGCTATTGTTTCTGTAGTCATTCTTCTTCTTCACCATAACAATTTACCATTTTGAGGGCCTCAAACTCATCAAACCTTGCACACATATGGGACCTGGTGAAAAGTTGGATATTTTCAAATGAGATCCTCATATTGCATGTGCCACTACGGCCATGATGATATTTTTGCAACGCCAATGTAGGGGGTGGCTAAGAAGACACCTGCACACCGCGACTACTGCCATGATATTTTTGAGATATTTTTGCAACCCCAATGTAGGGGGTGGCTAAGAAGACACCTGCACACCTTTAGATTTGTGGCCAATTTTGCAGCGAGCTGGTCTCGGTCCGAAACATGCTGGCGTAATCCAAAGAGCTCAAAAAGTCATCAAAACGTCTTGATCATTCAATCTGACGGTTGCCAGGCAACAACTCAGGTGCAAAGCAAGTCAACAATTGTAGGGAAAATGAATGGAAGAGGATGTGAGAGTGTGATGATGAAAACACTGAATGGAATAAACTAGCCGGATTTGTAATGGCAAAGTCTTTGTTTGTTTGTTACTTAGCAGCAGGACAAGACAATACTTATCTTACAAGTTGTTTTTTTTGACTGTATGACATTTCTGCACACCAGTAGCACAACTTTGGTATACAAATAGAACAACAAAGTTGTAACCCGTGAGGCAACCACTCGGCGCAGCAACAACGTAAAACACGCGGCAGTGACGCTCTCTGTCACTTCGCATCAACGACAAACTCACCGGAGCTCAATCTGCAAACGGCAAAGACATCCCGCTCCCTTGACAGCGATACATACGCTCTCACTTCAAAGTTTCTCAGCAAAATGAGTGAGTGATGTCGTCGTCGCCACCGTGTGCGGCCGCACATATCATTGCCAGTAGCAGCGCTGCGGTCAGCCGACGCAAAACGCGGCAGCGGCTGTTTTTCGTCACGAAACTGTCGGCGTTGTGAACTATATGAAGCGTCGATTCCGGCTTTGTTCGACTACAGTCCAAAGCAAATGAATCAATACTCGTGGAATTGAGTACACCCACGGGACAAAGCATGAGGTCAACTAACCCAAAGACATTTCGATGTTGAGTATTGAAACAATAAATGACAGTAAGACAAAGCAGTCAAGCTTGTACATGAGTCATACACACACCAAAAAAAGACCGTGTTCTCCAGTGCGTTCGCTTGTGTGTGTTTGTGTGTGTGTGTGTGTGTGGTACCTGCGCTCAGATGAGCCACACATAGCAAAATCCAGGCCGTGTGAAGGATGTGCTCGGCGGGTCGAGTCATGGCAAGGACCGCATGGGTTCCTTCCTTCCGTCCGGCCGGCCGCTGCTGCTCTGCTCAGTCCACGCGGGGCGGCATGTACGTAGACACACACGCGCACACACACACACCTCTCTCTCTCTTTTTCTCACACACATACGGACGCACACACATTAATGACAGGAGGAAAGTGTGCGGCGTAATGAGTGAGAGCTTTGCAGCCCTCCCCTGCAGGGAGAGAAAGTAAGAGGATTACACAGCCTTGGGCCACTGATGGAGACATGTGAAGCATACAGTACACACACACACACACACACACACACACACACACACACACACACACACACACACACACACACACGCAATAATGTATCAGGAGTGTGTGTGTGCGCACGCGTGCATGTGGCCACTAGATTGATTGACTGACGGCTTTATTTGAATATTTAAAAAAGCGACAGAGAGAGAAAGAGAGTGAGCAAGTGAGAGAGAGAGAGAGAGCGCCACAACATAAATTGGAGCAGTACGCAAGGGGCTTCACCGTGGTCAT